AAACAAAATCATGTTGTATTTATCTGTCTGTATTATAGAATATGTTTGTTTGTTTACATTGCCACTCCTGTGAAACACATGGCAGATACTTTAAGTTATTCCGTGGATGAAAATAATTTGTGCACAAGTTTTAAGAGATAAACGTCATGTTTTGTAAGACTGTTATAACTAAAGGTATTCGATGCCTGGAAATTTCATTTGGAACCGACAATGTGTTTTCGGTTTAAGAGCAAGCATCAGCGTATGGAACGTCTTGTTACATGTATGCATCCCTCTCTTTGTTGTCAGTCTTCTTAAGAACTGATCACGAACATGTGATAAATATTTTTGTAAAGAATTATGAAACTCCTGTAAGACAGGTGAAGCTGCAGACAGAGTAGAATGCCAAGTCCAGAGAGAGTAGAATGTCAAGTGCAGAGAGAGTAGAATGCCAAGTGCAGAGAGAGTAGAATGTCAAGTGCAGAGAGAGTAGAATGTCAAGTGCAGAGAGAGTAGAATGTCAAGTGCAGAGAGAGTAGAATGTCAAGTGCAGAGAGAGTAGAATGTCAAGTGCAGAGAGAGTAGAATGTCAAGTGCAGAGAGAGTAGAATGCCAAGTGCAGAGAGAGTAGAATGTCAAGTGCAGAGAGAGTAGAATGTCAAGTGCAGAGAGAGTAGAATGTCAAGTGCAGAGAGAGTAGAATGTCAAGTGCAGAGAGAGTAGAATGCCAAGTGCAGAGAGAGTAGAATGCCAAGTGCAGAGAGAGTAGAATGTCAAGTGCAGAGAGAGTAGAATGCCAAGTGCAGAGAGAGTAGAATGTCAAGTGCAGAGAGAGTAGAATGTCAAGTGCAGAGAGAGTAGAATGTCAAGTGCAGAGAGAGTAGAATGTCAAGTGCAGAGAGAGTAGAATGTCAAGTGCAGAGAGAGTAGAATGCCAAGTGCAGAGAGAGTAGAATGTCAAGTGCAGAGAGAGTAGAATGTCAAGTGCAGAGAGAGTAGAATGCCAAGTGCAGAGAGAGTAGAATGCCAAGTGCAGAGAGAGTAGAATGTCAAGTGCACCATTGTATTTAACAGGGGGCCGAGTGTATGAGTGTATGTCAGAAATATGCCTGCCACGTCACGGAGCCCTCTGTATAAACTCGTTTATAGACTCAATCTTCAGAGACAAGTGTTTGGTAAGTGAGTGAGTGAGTTGGGTTTAACGGCGCTTTTAACAGTATTCCAGTTATATCACGGCGTGTCAGCTTTATGTGTGAGGAAAGCCCGAAGTGATGCAGGTCTCAGACGTTTGCCACTTCGGTGAAACCCACGAGCACGGGTATGGTGCTGACAAACCTAGAAACATAATCGGGACGAACCGGAATTCGAACCCACAATCATAGGTTTCTGGTGTGCCCAAGGGACGCAACTCTGCTCAGCGAATCGCGGCGCCTTAGACGACTGGGCAACCCGCGCCCCCGACAAGTGTTAGGAGGGGTGGCTTAGCTTAACTGCGAAGGAAAAAGAGTAAACCCTTAATAGTTTCCATTTTTTAAGTACAATCAAGTTAAAAAAGAAGAGCCAATATTTCACAAAAATAAACTTGATAAACCACATATTTTACTTGGTTGGTTTAGAAGCATTATGCATATTTTGCGTGTATATAACTGGATATCAAATTAAGTGCTATTGTTATCTCAGGATTAGCAATCGAAGTGTAGGGGACCGCGTCTGACGGAACATAAGGGGAAATGTACGTTACAGATTAAGGAAACAGGTGAGGCGAATTGGTTTAACGTCGCGTCGAAGATTATTGCACTTATAAAGCGACGTGCATGCAATGTGGCTGATTTTACTAGTCCGGACCAATGCCGGTTTTATATTGCTAGCCCACTGAGATACCATGCTGCAGTTTAACATGAATACCCCACTCAGACACAGTACATTGTCTCCGAGCCGACCAGTCTTTGTTTTAGTCCCTTAATGCCGAGCGCCAGACAGGGTGACAACAAGTACCATCTTTTAACGTCTTTTGGTATGACGCGGCCAGAGATCGATCCCCGGACCTTCCGCTCTCCGGGCGGACGTTCTACCACTAGACCATGGAGGCGGTCTTAAGTTTTGGAAGAGAAACACGCAACTGATTTATAAAATAGAAAGGTCAAACGCGTTACTCAACTACATCCGGCTGGAAACAAACGCGTTACACCACTGCACCCGGCTAGACTTTACCAACAGTAAAACATCTTTCTCTACATATGCATATACATAAATTTCCTCCATGTTTGTTCAACAAAATATAACTTGACAATCCATGTTTGTTTGTTTGTTGTTTAACACCGCACTTAGCAATATTCCAGCTGTATGACGACGGTCTGTAAATAATCAATTCTGGACTAGACAATCCAGTCATTGACATCATGAGCATCGATCCACGTAATTGGGATACGATGACATGCATCAACCAAGTCAGCGAGCCTGACCACCCGATCCCGTTAGTCGCCTCTTACGACAAGCATGGGTTGCTGAAGACCTATTCTAACCCCGATATTCTAACATTGACATATAAATGCAGTACTTTTTCAAAGCAAATGAACAAGAAACACACAATCTGCCAAACATACCAAGTTTTGTCCAACACATGATCATGTCCAGCAGAACCAATGCTGGATGTCTGCTGCAACCCATGGCGGACTAAAGGAAGCACACGAGTCTTAAAATAAAACTAATTTCAAGAAAATGAATAGTTTCGTATAAGTAGGTAACGTACAATCATAACTTATTAATAGTTTGACGTTCATCTTTTTAAACATAGCCGTATAAACAGCTGTACATTGTATAGATGCTATCAGTGACTATGCATGGATGATTTACTAAAGTTGTTTTCATATGACTACGTTTCTATTAAATTGATTGCGTAATTTGCATTTTTCATTCAAAATTACTCTATTTGTCCTAATCATCATGGCTGTTAACCGTGTATTAATGAGGATACCATTGTAATTTTGAAGGTTAGCTTGGTACTTTTGTCGTATGACATGACATTTACTTCAAATGTACTTTAGGTAACAGACATTTCGTTAATTTGTGGGAATATGAACACCCATTTTGCACCAAAGAACTGTCTAGGTGGTGTAACACATTAATAAGCAATGTTGCAATTAGTGGACAAATATTTCTATAAATGTTTTTGGTGTTGAACTCTTAACTGGGACAGTAACGTACATTTCGTTTTCCCACATCTGCGTTAATACTACAGACAAATATCCTACGCGGGAGAGTTTGTTTGTTGAAGACACCACAGCCACCACTCTAACACTCGTATAAAATATATTGTGTTATTTCTAATTATCCTTTGTGCAAAGGTGCTAATACATGGACTTTGCCTCATGATGGAACTTTAGGTTACACACAATCAAATGTTTTCCCATAGACTTCTATAGTAACGTTATATCTTTTTAAAAAATAAATAGGCATTCAACAGCCATTACATTTACATATATGCACAATCTGGCCTTAAAGCTGCAATAAAAACACAAATTTTGACTAGGTCAGCCAGCTCCTTTTCCGAGTACAGGAAGCTGAACACACCAACCCCAGTTCCGCACCAAATGTCACCTACTTCAAAATATCTGTGCTCACATAAAGCACAAGTCATCATGTTAAAAAAGTCAGCACCAAATATTGAAAAATATGGGCAGTTTTAATTACTGGATGGATGTACATTAAAAAGACATAAACATCTTACACAATATCATCCAATCACAGCCTGCAGATGTCTCTTGATCTGCACTGAAGGCTAAAACCGCACAGTTACAACCAGTTCTGATTTAGTGTAGTAGAACCTGTAGTGAATACTTTCTCTGTGTGCAGGCTTCATCAGGACCAAACACAAAAGTAGGCAGCATGTTGCTGTAGTGGCCAGGTATTCTCTGTTGATGAACATGTTACAGCTTTGCTAACCGTATCCACTTTAGGGACGTGATGCTCCTTTCTTTGCCTCTGTTCAGTGGTGGACAGCGAGTTCAAGAGAACAAGAGAGTCTCGATGAAGATGCAAGATCTGGAAGAACTTCAACTGACACCACTAAAGAAAAACGACAGAACTCATTCCATATTCAAAATAAATCTCTGCCAATACTGCCCAATAGAACAGTCGACTGACCGATTCCGACCATATCATGAGCATGGTCCTGTTGATGTGAAAATGTTGATCGACGACTCACCACAAATCACATAGCCAATACACTACCCATTTCTCATGAGAGTGTTGAGAACATTCTGGAGAATGAACTTAGCATGACCAAGATTTCAGCACACAGGGTCCAAGGATTCAGACTCCTGATCAGAAAAGCTCGAGGTTCATCACCTCATCTTACGTCGTTTGGAAGCAGACCCATCTGATATTGTTGAGTGATGTGTAACTATGGATGAGACTCATGTTCACCACAGTCAGCCAGAGACTAAACAGTCAAAGCAGTTGAAAAGCATAACATCCCCTCCTCTGGAGAAGGCCAGTGAGAGCAAGTGAGTGAATATGGTTTTACGCCGCTTTTAGCAATATTCCAGCAACATCACAGCGGGACAACAGAAATGGGCTTCACACATAGTACCCACGTCAGGAATCGAACCCAAGTCTTTGGCATGATGAGCAAAGACTTTAACCGCTAGGCTACCCGACCTCCCCTCGAAGAAGGCAAAGCTGGTTCCATAAGCTGGCAAGATTTTCTGGAACTCCAAAGGAATCCTACTGGTGGACTACCTCCTGAAAGGGCAGACCATTAATGGCCAATATTATTCTTATCTCCTTAGGCAAGTGTATGGGAATGTCAAGGCTAAACTCACTAAAAGGTGTGTTGTTCCAACAGGAGCACCCCTAATGGTCTATTCTCCCTGCAGTGATGTATTGTACCATAACTCCCGCTCCTCATATATTTCATAAATACAATGTTTACAAATAATTTGAAGGAAGTATCTGTACAAACCTGGAATAAATTTCATATTCCATCTACAATCTTTAAGACAAACATTAGTAACACAAAATTCTTCATTTGTTTATGTTTATTACACATAAAACATAACAGTATTACAAGAACAAGATTCTCGTACATGAGCCCAACATCATTTCATCAGTTTTTCAACATGAACTGGTGCTTTACCAACACACATCTTCCCACTTCTTTCACACAGGAGTATTGCACAGTCCAAACAGTACTTATCTTCATTTTACAAGTCACCCTCATATATTTATCTATCACACTGTATGGATACATGATCTATGGAGATTGTCAGTCAGATACCATATATCTTACAAGTTGTTTCAAAAAGTAACAAACTTGCTTTCGCTGGTTTTGAAACTATAACTTGTAAGATAGATGGTATATGACCGGCCCAATGCAGTAATGTTTCTTACACTCCCTTATTTGCACCATTTTGGCATGCAATCGATGCATAATTTATCTAGTCTATTTATAGCAGTGGCTCATTAATACATAACAATGGTCATGAGTGACATCATATGGCCGTCTACTCACAACTTTCTCCAGTGTGACCCTTCATAAAATTCAGCTATATCTGTTGATTACCAAGGTGATAATGCAAATGAGATAAGATCAAGAACACTAATATCATTAAACACTCAAACCCATAAAGCTTCGACAGACATACATGTGCAGTTCAATTTAACAGAAGCATGACAAAAATTATCAATAAATTGCAATCAGGAAAGCAGTCCGTCATTATCTGACCTTAAGTCATCAACATGGCGTAGCTAATTACAGACCTGGAATTTTATCTCAAATGTTTGATACTACAGTGTTCCCTGGCTATTGTGCTCTTCATTATGGCGCTAACTCAGGTATAGCGGGCGGTAAAGCATGGCTCCCAAAATTTACTCAAGTTTAACAACTTCTATTCTAATCTTTATTTAAACTCTGAAACGTGCAACGTAGATCGTGTGAGGTAGGCAGAGCATGTGTACTGTCTTGTTGGTCATCTACCACCTACGACTCAACCTTGATTAAACCGCTGATCATCAAAAACGCTCTTCAATTATTTGGACCCCGAAGGTAGCGTTGTAGCGAGGGATCACTGTAGTTATCTCAAATGGGTTTCTCATCCACAGGTGCGTGAGAAACCCTATATACCTTATACTTGTATCGTGGCAGAGAATATCGCGATGTACTGAATGTTTGGTTAACCGTTACAAACCTACATTGAAATTATATGTAGAACTGCCATGATTACTCAAACCTGGTCCGACAAATGCCAATGTTCTTGTTTGTATGGAAAGAAGAAAGTGACAAAAAAATAACATTGTTCAGATGATCTTAAATGAAATGTCCTTTGTTGTTGAAATATTCCAAACTGAATGTAAAACAATCTCCACCATCCCTTTTTCCTGGCTCCTGTTTCTAAGAGGTCCCTTTATCGACCACTGTGCACATGCAAGAGTTGTCTCCCCAGGAGATACTCTTCTCTTCCGTGACTGGAACAAACTCCTCACATTCTGTCCATTTTTCAACACATATGTTCAGGGTGTGAATCGTAGATTCACAGGAGAGAGTCTGCCCAGTGGGTTAAATTCGTTCCTCTGAAACTGGTCGGGGAAGATGGAGGTGAAGCTGTCATCCATTTGGGCGGTGGTGGCGCCATGCTTCAGATTGCGCAGCTCCTGGATCTGCTTGAGTAACGCCTTCGCTTCCTCCCGTTGCTGAAACAAGAGGTGGAGCATCTCTACTTCTGGCACCTGCTCAAACGCATCCTAAAACCTACAATACAGTGGAACTACATCTGTTCTAAAATCAAATTCACAACTGAAACTGTAACTCTAAGACACACTGGTCACATATTAATTATTTCTTTCATATCAACCACCTTTTATTCTCATTAATGAAAGATTAAAATGCATCCTTTTCCAGTTTCCTAATAATCTAACAATCTACAAACAACTAATTTCACAACATCCTATTACATCTGGCACACAAGTATGACAAGAGCCACAAAACAATAAAAACAGTGGTTGTGGTATGGCAGTGGTATGACTGCAGCAGTAATCTCCCCTACCTCTGTGAATTCTACACACTTCTGTGCAGTGATATAGGCTTCGTCCAGCTGAGCTGTCTTCACATAGTAGTTGGACAGGTACTTGAAGGCAGGGCCGAGTTCCTCTGTGTTGTTGATCTGATGTCAGTGAGAAATACACCATTACTGAGACAACCAAACAGCCAGTATTGCATGTGATGGCCATGATTTACCACTGTTTATAGCGGTAAGATGCCATGCTACATGGTTAGTGAAGTCAACATGTTTGAAGGGCGTTAGGGTGTGATCATGTGCTCTGGGTGTTGTGAAGTGGATCAGGGAGTTGTCAAATAGATCAGGGTGTTGTCAACGGGATCAGAGTGTTGTCAAGGAAATCAGGGCGTTGCCAGAGGGATCAGGGTGTTGTCAAGGAGATCAGAGTGTTGTCTGAACGATCAGGGTGTTGTCAGTGGGATCAGAGTGTTGTCAGAGAGATCAGTGTGTTGTCGAGAGGATCAGGGTGTTGTCAAGGGGATCAGGGTGTTGTCAGTGGGATAAGGGTGTTGTCAGAGGGATCAGGGTGTTGTCAAGAGGATCAGGGTGTTGTCTGAACGATCAGGGTGTTGTCAGTGGGATCAGAGTGTTGTCAAGAGGATCAGGGTGTTGTCTGAAGGATCAGGGTGTTGTCAGAGAGATCAGTGTGTTGTCGAGAGGATCAGGGTGTTGTCAAGGGGATCAGGGTGTTGTCAGTGGGATAAGGGTGTTGTCAGAGGGATCAGGGTGTTGTCAAGAGGATCAGGGTGTTGTCTGAAGGATCAGGGTGTTGTCAGTGGGATCAGAGTGTTGTCAGAGGGATCAGTGTGTTGTCAAGAGGATCAGTGTGTTGTCAAGGGGATCAGGGTGTTGTCAGTGGGATCAGGGTGTTGTCAAGACAATCAGGGTGTTGTCAGTGGAATCAGGGTGTTGTCAGTGGGATCAGGGTGTTGTCAAGGGTACAGGGTATTGTCAATGGGATCTCGGACTATGACACATATTCACAGACATACATACTCCTTGCCTATCCGCCTGCGACACATACGTACCCCTTGCCTCTCGGCCTGCGACACATACATACCCCTTGTCTCTCAGTCTGTGACACATATCTACCCCTTGCCTCTGAGCCTGCGACATATACCTACCCCTTTCCTCTTAGCTAGCGACACATACATATCCCTTGCCTCTCGGCCTGCGACACATATGTACCCCTTTCCTCTCGGCCTGCGACACATACGTACCCCGTTCCTTAGCCTGCAACACATACATACCCCTTGTCTCTCAGTCTGTGACACATACATACCCCTTGCCTCTCGGCCTGCGACACAAACCTACCCTTTGCCTCTTGGCCTGCGACACATACGTACCCCTTGCCTCTCGGCCTGCGACATATACGTACCCCTTTCCTCAGCCTGCAACACATACGTACCCCTTGCTTCTCGGCCTGCAACACATAAGTACCTCTTGCCTCTCAGCCTGCTACACATACGTACCCCTTGCCTCTCGGCCTGCGACACATACGTACCCCTTGCCTCTCGGCCTGCAACATATAAGTACCTCTTGCCTCTCAGCCTGCTACACATACGTACCCCTTGCCTCTCGGCCTGCTACACATACGTACCCCTTGCCTCTCGGCCTGCTACACATACGTACCCCTTGCCTCTCGGCCTGCGACACATACGTACCCCTTGCCTCTCGGCCTGCGACACATATTCATTATAGGCAGCGGCAGCCTGGTGTTCTTCATTCAACTTCTCGTACAGTCTGGCAGAGAACATATATTGCATCATGCATGTCATGGGAGAGTGTACCATATCACATACTAATGTGTAACCTTCAACAGAGTGGTACTCTAAGTCACACACAACACAATCCTCAAACAAAACAGTAACATTCATAGTCTACTTTCTAGTCTATTCTCTATTCTCTATTCTCACGGGGGGCACGGGTGGCCCAGTCGTCCAAGGTTCCGCGATTCGCTGTGCAGAGTTGCGTCCCTCGGACATGCCAGATACCTATGATTGTGGGTTCGAATCCCAGTTCGCCCCGATTATGTTTCTGGGTTTGTCAGCACCATACCCGTGCTCGTGGGTTTCACCGAAGTGGTAAACGTCTGAGACCTGCATCACTTCGGGCTTTCACCCCACATTAAGCTGACACGCCGTGATATAACTGGAATAATGTTAAAAGCGGCGTTAAACCCAACTCACTCACTCACTCACTCTATTCTCACATACAAAGATTTGTTTGTTTGTTGTTTAACACCACACTCAGCAATATTCCAGCTATTTGACGGCAGCATGTAGATAATCGACCCTAGACAAGACAATCCACTGATTGATAATGTGAGCACCGATCCACGCTGTTGGAGTATGATGACACACAGTCAACCAAGTCACCAAGCTTGACCACTGATGCATTTGGTCACCTCTCATGACCAGCCTAGGTTGCTGGGGACCTGTCTGACCCAGATTCCCCACGGGGTTCATACACAAAAACGGGGAATAAGCAAGACAAGTACAGGTAATAACAATTCGCCTGACTTCGAGGAAAAGATCATTACATCGACATCACAAATAACCGAGATGCATTGCCTCAAATAAAAAAGGCACTTTCTATTTGATTTTCTGCCTGCAACCTCAGAGGTTCACAATAAACAAACTGTGCATTAAACATAAGACACTCATAAGACACATAAGATTTTGTTACACAATTACTGTGATCTTACTTTGCCAGCTTGATGAGTGCCATGCCCTCCACGTCCCCAATGCTGTTGGCCTTCCAGAAACACTTCTTGGCCTCCTGGAGACGGTCCAGCTTCTCGTAACATTCACCCAGGGCTACAACCATCCGCGAGTCATTCGGTCTGGAACAGCACAGAAAACGTGATAAATGTCACCATGGTCACATATTTCACTGATGAATCGAGAACGGGGGGTTCAGGGTATGCAAAAATCCATTATGTTGTTTGCATCTAAAAGTACCCCTAACTTTAAGGTATCACACAGACTGTAGCCTCTTTGAAAGGAAACCAAAGCGTTCTATAAAATCTAAATGCCTGCAGCATGTACAGTGGAATGTGTCTCTATTCCACCATAAGGGAAACATACCTGCTACCTACCTGAGCTGTTAGCCTTGTACTATTCCGGCCTAATGCCAGTGTTATAGTGCTAGTCAACTGAGATGCCATGCCACAACTTAACAAGATACCCCACTCAGACACACTATACTAACTCCGAGCAACCAGTCCTTGTTTTATCCCCTTAATCATGTTAATGGCAACAGGCTGGGACCTGGGTAATAACAAGTACCATCTTTTATCATCTTTTGGCATAATGCATCCCAGGAATTAACTTTCCAGGCAGGCGCTCTATCCACTAGACCATGGAGACGGTCCTACCTACCTGAGCTGTTGGGCTTGTCTGTGATAATACAGGGAGTAGGACGGCATCTTGAGTATCTCGTAGGTCTGACCTAGACCGTACCAGGCTCGATAGTCACGGTTGTTCACCTCTGTAAGGAAGACAACACTGACTCAGCACAAATCAATTAACATTGGTAACCTTGTTGTTGTCAAAAAAGCATCAACAGAAAGGCAATGGAACCTCTGGGTTAGTAGTTCGTTAAGGATTGTAAGAGCATTGAACACACGCTGCCAGTTAGAAAGTGGTCAAATGTAACACATGTTATATTTGGGATAACACTTTCTCAGTACAGATTCTTGGACTTTTTTGGGTGGAGTCCCGTAAGAGCATTGACATTATTTATTGCATTCGCAAGCTGTATATTTCATAAACAAGGCATACTTCATGTTAATTCATTTTCATTATTCTTTTGTGACTATTTCTTCAGATTGCACCAGTCTACAAGAGACACTAAACTTCATGTGAACACATTAGACAGACTTAGAAATTTGGTTTTTAAGACTAGTCAAGAAGACTAGCGTAAACCTTATTCAACTGGTCCTCAGACTTTGTAGATGGTCCTGCTTGAACAAGAAAACAATGCTTACTATGTTTGTTTTATGTTTTATTCAGTTTCCAATCTGAAGCAAAATTGAGAACTGATTCACAGTCAGAGTCCTCAAATGCTACTAGTCAATGAAGACAACCGTTATTAGATTTTTACTTATCCTCGGCACAATTTAGTTGTCTCAGGGAATTTTGACAGCTGAATTATATCTGACTGATCATAATTATAGACTAGCTCTATCTCACCTATGGCTTGTCTATACGCCTGTATAGCTGCTGATGTATTTTTCATCTCCATGAACTCGTGACCAATCAGAGTCCAGGCTGAGAGATAGTGCGGGTTCAGCTTCAGGGCTCGTTGGAAGTAGAGTATTGATTTCTCCCGCTGGGAACGGAGGGAATAATAGTTTCCTGGAAAATAACACCAAAATGTCAGCATACTGAACATCACAAGAACTATCAAGTCTGAACGTCAGGATTTTGATATCAGGACCCCAGATACCCATAAACCCCACCTACAGGGACAATATTTACGTGAAACCAAATAAAACTACATAAAATGTTGTTGTTTTTCTGTAAATATGGTTTCCAGGTCAAGACATTTCAATTACCTACTTTGAACATACACAGCATATGTTCCCACATACCAGACAGCCACCTCGCTTAACAACGTTTGTTTTAAACATCATCACCTTCAGCCAACATCAAAGGGACAGGTAGCATGTGATCACTGTGCTAATTAGTTACATGTCTGATCGTTAGTTGGGCAGTGATTGTCATTTGACACTGAGGTGACGTTTGAGATGATCATATCAATAACCTTGCAATGAAATAGGTGACTGAGTTTCTGCACAGTACATTGCAGCACAGTCAAGGGGGCAAGCCAATCTGCGGAAACGAAATGACAGCAAGGGAAAAGAAGGCAATCATAACAACGGATTCAGAAATCCGGAAACTTGTTTACATGCACCATGTTTGAGGAAACTACAAGTGTCCGGATAAGCGAGGTTCGACTGTACACACTAGGGCTGGGACCAGTCCAAATTTACTACCCTGGTACCCGACCCTACCCGCGTACCCACTGTTGGTCTGAAGAGTTGGGGACAAAATGTCCAGTTGGGAATTGTTTTACCATAACCCTTGCAGAAACATAGTTAGATACTCGTACAAAAAAGGATCTGATCATGCATAAAATGAAGTTTCATCTATATTAAAAAATATAAAAGTCAGAATAATTGTGTGCATAGTCAGAAGTAAATGCAAACATTATTGACTTGTAGTGTAACCATGGAGTTTTATTGTTATTGTCATTAAACAATATATCACATGAGTATCCACATGTCCAGTAGGTAGGACCTACCCTACCCGAGTACCCAAGTCACCCATCCCAGGCCTAGTACACATGAAAGGAAATGTAACCCAAGAGAGTGAGTGAGTGAGTATGGTTTAACGTCGCTTTTAGCAATATTCCAGCAATATCACACCGGGGGACACCAGAAATTGGCTTCACACATTGTACCCATGTCGGGAATCGAACTCGGGTCTTTGGCGTGATGAGCTACCCGACCGCCCCTAACCCAAGAGAGATTGAGTGAGTGTTCATTGTAGAAATATGAAGATAACATTCATGTCTGTTTGTCAAGTGAACACTTATACCCCACTATTCCCAAAAGAGGAAGTAAAACTAAACTAACAACTCCAGATAAATAAGTTGAGTCACACTAACGCTACACCAGTTGACCTCCTTCCAAGGGGAGGTAATCTCACCTACAACACAGCATGTCTCCACCCTGTATTTGTCAATCTCTGTACACTTGTGTGCCAGGTTGGCCAACTCTGCTTGCATGTCCTACAAAACAAACATGAATTAGTCATATCCACCACCAATATGATATGTCCGATTGTGTGGAGCACTACCACCATTTTCAGTCGAAGTCAAAGGCATTGCCATGGAAACTCTAAAAACAATTTTTTCAAAAATCCCAAACTATCAAAAGGCACCAGTTCACCAATGGATCTATCCATGTGCAAAGTTTGATTACGATATCTCTCATGGTTTGTGAGTTCAGCTCCGGAACGATATGTGATGGAAGGACTTTGTGACGGGGAATAATAAATAGTAATACGAGATACCACATTTCTAAAAAATTGTAGGACCAAAATTACTTGAACATGATTGAATTATTTTATTTCATATAACGTCTTCAAAAAACATGTGATACTACTCATTACTAAGGTTGTATCAATTGATAAAACTCATTACTAAGGTTGTATCAATTGATAAAACTCATTACTAAGGTTGTATCAATTGATAAAACTCATTACTAAGGTTGTATCAATTGATAAAACTCATTACTAAGGTTGTATCAATTGATAAAACTCATTACTAAGGTTGTATAAATTGATAAAACTCATTACTAAGGTTGTATCAATTGATAAAACTCATTACTAAGGTTGTATCAATTGATAAAACCATCGAAGAAATACCCTGCCATGCATGACCATCACAATTTTTTATAGATGCAAAACAACGAAAACATATATGTATTGAGAAATCAGACATTGCATGGATGAATGGAGGTTAAATAAAGTTCCTGCTAGGTGTATTCATTTTCATATTCATTGGATCGTGATACCAAGTTATCAGATTGGTTTATGGCGTCACACTATTCATTGCATGACAAAGGGTCACAAAGTGGCAATATGTAGATTGACAAGATGTGAGGAATTTACAGATGTTATTTGTACTTGACTGTGTCCATGAATATGTTGACCATGTCAATCTCATTAAAATCAGACTTTAGTTCTCGCTACCGCTGTTCAGCTGTGGCAAGAAATAAGATCTGATTTTAATGAGATTGTTGACCATGTTGACGTTCTGTAGAACAAGTATTTGTCACAGAGTGACGAAATATCCCCCGCCTGTACACCATACTACCAAATATGAAGACAATCCAGCGATTAGTTCTTGAGATATTGTGGCAACACCGTTTTCCAACTCCAAAAACAGATTTGCCTGCTGTGACCTTGAAAATGGGTTCAAGGTCACCAAATCTGACAGGTGTATGCGGTGTCTGTATATACACTATAGTTCCAAATATGAAACAATCCAGCGATTAGTTCTTGAGATATCGCGGCAACACCGTTTTCTAACTCCAAAAGCAGATTTGCCTGCTGTGACCTTGACAATGGGATCAAGGTCACCAAAACCGACTGGTGTCTGCGGAGTCTGTATATACACCATAGTTCCAAATATGAAGACAATCCAGTGTTTAGTTCTTGAGATATCGCGGCAACACCGTTTTCCAACTCTAAAAGCAGATTTGTCTGCTGTGACCTTGAAAATGGGATCAAGGTCACCAAAACCGACTGGTGTCTGCGGAGTCTGTATATACACCATAGTTCCAAATATGAAGACAATCCAGTGTTTAGTTCTTGAGATATCGCGGCAACACCGTTTTCCAACTCCAAAAGCAGATTTGTCTGCTGTGACCTTGAAAATGGGATCAAGGTCACCAAAACCGACTGGTGTCTGCGGAGTCTGTATATACACCATAGTTCCAAATATGAAGACAATCCAGTGTTTAGTTCTTGAGATATCGCGGCAACACCGTTTTCCAACTCCAAAAGCAGATTTGTCTGCTGTGACCTTGAAAATGGGATCAAGGTCACCAAAACCGACTGGTGTCTGCGGAGTCTGTATATACACCATAGTTCCAAATATGAAGACAATCCAGTGTTTAGTTCTTGAGATATCGCGGCAACACCGTTTTCTAACTCCAAAAGCAGATATGCCTGCTGTGACCTTGAAAATGGGGTCAAGGTCACCAAAACCGACTGGTGTCTGCGGAGTCTGTATATACACCATAGTTCCAAATATGAAGACAATCCAGTGTTTAGTTCTTGAGATATCGCGGCAACAAACAGGTGGGACGTACGGACGGACGTACGGACGGTCGTGAATACTATATCCCCCGCTTCGCGCTTTCGCGCGGCGGGGGATAATTAAAGTGAAGGAAGACTACTATGTAAACTTCTGGAGACAACTTGAGTCTAGTTCTGTGTGTTTGTGGAAACGGTTCAAGATTATTTCTCTTATTTAGCGACGTGAATGTATGTGGCTGCTTATACTAGTCCTGACTATTGCTGGTTTTATAGTGCTAGCCCACTGACATACCATACTGCATTTTAACATGGACACCCAACTCAGACACAGTATACTGACTCCGGCCGATCAGTCCTTGTTTTATACCCTCTTGCCAAGCACCAGGCAGGGTAAAAACAAGTACCATCTTTTAACATCTTTTGGTACGACACGGCTCGGAATGGAACCACAACCTTCCACTCTAAAGGCAGACACTCTATCCACTAAACCACGGAGGTGGACGTGCCTTGTATGAATATGACACATAGTATCTGTATAAGTGGAGTATTCATCAGCGTATAAGTGAGTATGGTTTTATGCCGCTTGTAGCAATATTCCAGCACTATCAGAGCAGGGACACCAGAAATGGGCTTCACACATTGTACCCATATGGGAAAGCAACCACTGGTCCTCGGCGTGACAAGCGAGCATTATAACCACTAGGCTAACCCTCTGCCCAGAGTGTTCTGTAGTTAGTAAGGTCTACATCATAAAATTTAAGTCAGAAGACAACATGGGCAAATAAAGTTAATGACTTGGATCCAGTGTTCGAAATAAGCACCTGACTGTAGGCCCGTGACGGGTAATTCTCGTGTCGGGCACGTAGCTTCAAATTTGTATGGGTCCTTATGACCTGCAGTGAATTTATGTGTCAGTTTATTTGTCACAACAAGCTGCAGATTTTTAAATGAAGGCGAGAAGGGTTTCATCAGGGCCTGCAGCTTCTAAAATCTTTGGGTCCTGATGGCAACCTGGCAATTTTGTATATTTCAACCATGGCTTGGATCCCATTTGCTACGGCTACAACTAAGGCTCAGTATTATGTTACTTGTAAATGACAACCTTCACATAGAGCAGGTTGGAGAAGATGTCCATGTTCTCCACTCTGTAGGGGTCCATCTTCTGCAGCTCCGTGAAGGCCGTCACAGCCTGGTCCACATCTGTACACAGCAGGGATCAGAATCATGCTTGGGGAAATTGATACTACCAACTCTCAATATGCTACAAACTAGTGATGGTTACTTGACTGAATTTTGTATTGCAATTTGTTGCAATACTGATTCAGGTATTGCAATATGTACCACAAAATATTGCATGTGGTGTTTCATTGGCAACTTGTTTTGAAGCTGAATTAAAAAGGTTTCCCCGCTCATTTTTTACATTTGTTGGATGTTGCTGTGGTGACAAAGCAAGTGTAATTGACACATCGCAAATAGTTTCGCTTTTACATTCACAGGAAACAGTTTCAAATTTCTCAATTTCAATATGACTTGTAACTTATGTAAAATTTTGCATGATTTAGAAAAACACAATATACCATACTTTCAAACTTATTGTGATAAGTATTCAAAATTATTTCATATCAAGGCATACCGGTAATATCGCGCACCTCTACTACAAACGAACAGCAACAGCCACAGTGAACATGTCTTCAAAGATGAAATAACAGTCTCCAAACAACACATGTGAAATCAAAACATTGAAAATGGCTAAAAAATATTCAGAAAGTTTTGACAACATATGAAATTCTGTATTCTACCTCTCATATTGTGATAGGCCACAGCAATCTGTGAGACGATGTAGTTGCTCTTACTGAAGCCAGTGGCTATGAAGGTCTGGTAGATCGCTAGACCCTCCTCATTCAGCTGCAGCTCCAGATAGGCATGTGCCATAAACAGCTGTCTTACCCAGTGGTCTGGTAGGCTCAGTGACGACAGCTGCAACATGTCAACCAAGCCGAGTGAGCTACGCATTAACCAGTTTGAACAACATTTCAGGTCGCAGGTTAGTGTTTTTGTTCCGATAATAATAAGCATATTTTTAATGTGCCAAATCCACACCCTAAAGCATACTCAAAGCTATCTTTTCTCTATCGCGATCCGGACTGAAGCTATCCTATCTATATTGCGATCCGGACTGAAGCTACCCTATCTCTATCGCGATCCGGACTGAAGCTACCCTATCTATATTACGATCCGGACTGAAGCTACCCTATCTCTATTGCGATCCGGACTGAAGCTACCCTTTCTCTATTGAGATCCGGACTGAAGCTACCCTATCCCTATTGCCATCTGGACTGAAGCTACCCTTTCTCTATTGAGATCCAGACTGAAGCTACCCTATCTCTATTGCGATCCGAACTGAAACTTCCCTATCTCTATTGCGATCCGGACTGAAACTGTTTAGAGTCTGTTTATGCAGTAATAAAATAAGAACATGTTTTTCAGCATGTTTATGTAATACTCTCCGACATAACCATGATAACACTTTCCAATATCCTTAAAAACAAAAGGAATTGATTTCCGCTTCACCCGTGAGACAACATGTGTCAGATGATGTGTGCAACAGATCGGGGACATCTCAAGTATACTTGTTCAAAATAATATTGAGCATACATAAAAAAACAAAATATTTTTCTGCTGCATCATGCTTATTGATTGTACTGAACATGCTCTTAACGTAAGATTTTCCTTTTGGCATTCATGATGGACCATGGCTTCCTCACCGTCTCCCGGTCTGTGATGAGCATGGCTAGCTCCTGCCACGCCCCCCAGTGTAATGGTTCCTTGTTGACAGCCTCCACAAAGATATTCATTGCCTCCTTCTGCAAATCTAGCTTTCTTAAGACTATCCCATACCTACAGGAGACAATGGATTGTGACAATAACAATGCTTTTCATCAAAGGACAGGCAACATGACACATTAAACATTGGTATAGGCCTTAGATTTTGGAGGATCAGAAGAAATGATTGATGGATACATATTCGCATAAGAAAATGATTCAGATAGACTATGTTAGATAAAGTGAGTGAGTGAGTGAGTGAGTGAGTGAGTGAGTGAGTGAGTGAGTGAGAGAGTTGGGTTTCACGCCACTTTGAACAGTATTCCAGTCTCATTATTGCATGATGCAGGTCTCAGACGTTTACCACTTCGGTACAGGTACAGGTATTGTGCTCACAAACCTTCGAACATAATTGGGGGTACCATGATTCAAACCACGATCATAGGTCTCTGGTGTGCCCAAGGGTCGCTACTCTGCACAGCTAATTAGAGGGCTGGACCATCAGTGCCCCCATGTTATTTAGAAGAAGTCAATGAAGTTTTTAAGGGGAGATTACTGCTTGATATGTACCATGTTACATAATAACTTCCATTAACCTTGTTTACCAGATAGGAAAATGATTGATAGGGTCCTGAGATAATTAGTATCATGAATATGTAGCAGATGAGTGAGTATGATTTTACGCCACTTTTAGCAATATTCCAGCCATATCACGGTGGAAGACACCAGAAATGGGCTTCACGCATTGTACCCATGTGGGGAATCGAACCCGGGTCTTCAGCATGACGAGCAAAAACCTTAACCACTAGGCTACCCGACCGCCCCTGTAGCAGGTGAGAAATGAATGAAATGCAACTGATGAATTAATTTCTACATCCAATTTTCCTTACAGATATAAACCAAACCCATCCAGTTCCTTGTTCACATTCTTCTTGCTGAGGTCAGTTTTCAACACCTTCAGATTCTCATTGTCCACTGACTCCGACGGACCTGCACCAACAACAATCATGTTACGATCACTGTCAAATCAAGACCCCACTTTGGTGTAAGCATATCTTCAACCCCGCTATTGTGTAAGTATATACATGACAGATCACAGAGGTAAGGACGAATCTAAGGGATGCTATTTGTTTTAAAAGAACAGCTGCCAATTAATACTCAGATATGTGTCCAAGTCTGATAAATACCTGTATACTGGGTCATTTTCACACGAATTCTTTTTTATTGTGCCGAAAATCCAAGTGAGAGAGTGAGTGAGATGGGTTTAAAGCCGCTTTTAACAGTATTCCAGTCATATCGCGGCGTGTCAGCTTAATGTCGGAGGAAAGCCCGAAGTGATGCAGGTCTCAGACGTTTACCACTTTGGTGAAACCCACGAGCATGGGTATGGTGCTGTCAAACCTAGAAACATAATTGGGGCGAACCAGGATTCGAACCCACAATCATAGGTGTCTGGCGTGCCAAGGGACGCAACTCTGCACAGCGAATCTCAGCGCCTTAGACGACTGGGCCACCCGTGCCCCCGAAAATCCAAGACATGAATTGATTGAAAATATACAAACACTAAATTATTTATGACAGAGAGGTTTGTCATCATGGTCAGACTTTCTAAGGGATTGAAACTAGCCCTAGTACACTACAGTCAATACCTATAGAGTCGGATGCATTGTCTATCTTTCTCTTCTCATCAGCCAGGTATCTGGCGTACATGTGGATGAAGTAAGCCTTGGGACTGGTACACTGCTCCACGGCGAGGGCAGCTCGGTCATACTCCTTCAGGTCGAAGTATGTGGTGGCCAGTGTGTACTTGTCATACTCTGCCCAGTGGTCCTGACACAAAAACCAGGTTACTACTTTCCAGGGCCCACTTGCACAAAACGATCTTAGCGCTAAGACTATTGTAAGCCTATGTTAAAGTATGGGAGTTAAGATCAGCTTAGTGCTAAGATCGCTTTGTGCAAGTGGGCCTAGATCAGTATGGAATGATCCCAGGTAGGGATACGTGGTCCACTTTAGCCCTTTACACAAATTAAGTGTGAACACCAATTACCTAAATTGTCAACAGTACCCTTGGCTTGGATTTGTTTGTTTATTTGTTGTTTAACGTCACACGTAGCAATATTCCAGCTACATGACAGCAGCCTGTAAATAATTGACCCTGGGACAGACAATACAGAGGTCAATACTGTGAGCAACAATCCACACCATCAGGGTATGAAGATATGCTATCAACACAGATCAACCAAGTGACATATATTTGGTCACCTCTTACGACAAGGAGAAATTGCTTGGGACCTATTGTAAGCAAGAATCCTCAATGGGTCCTTGGCTTGGAAGTATTGGATGTGTGCATAGGGACCAGTTCAAAAGTTTGATGTCAAACTAAAAACTTAATTCCTTCAGTTTTAAGACATACCCCCACACCAACAAGAAACTTAATTCTGAAAATGTTGAATTCCTGCGTTTAGTGGCCTCTTAGTTCACGCATTCTCATCATGTTTAGCCCTGCTCTTTCAGAACATTTATCGACTAATGTTATAGATTTACTGTCAGTAGGGGTTGAAAATCATTTGTAGGGTTTTCAAATCAGCCATTCTATAATATGCATTGCACTAGGACTTACCACTAGTGTTGGCGACAATAAAACCCTACCTCTTGGAAAGATCAGGTGTATTTAATGACAACTCCTAACCTAGTTTACAGCATATGAATAAAAATTGGATCAGGGTTCTTGCTTAGTTTAATTACCATATTAAACATTGAGAAATCAGGTATAATAGTTGACTTTGTCAGATGGAAAACTTTCAGGGCCTAAACTTAAGGAATTAAGACTTTTATCTGACATCAAACGTTTGAACTGGTCCCTGAGCATGCTTTGCAAGCATTGCTATGGCCATGATGGTGGTCATCCTAGACCTATACATCTTCCCGAGGCAAGAGAGTTAACTGACTTTAAAAGTCCAGTTTCAACCCTTGTCGAACTAGGCTGGAATACCTGGGCTCTATCGTAGCGCCACCAGTGGCTATTACGAGTTATGTCCCTTCTGAGCCTCTCCTTTAGACCAATCAGATTCCACCTCTCCTATCAATTGCATTTGCTTGAAACAAAACAGTGGCTCCTAGTCAAGACGATCTGATCGATAATCAAGGTCTATGTTGTGATAAAACTGGTCTTACATCGCGCAATGCGTGAGCACCTTGATTTAAAACATGAAAAGATTTGGAAAATATCTGTTGACAACAAGTTGGCAGTGCACATGCTTTGCAAATCCTGCAATCAACCGAAATCTACAGGACAGTTTACCAGTAGAGGACGTAACGTGTATGCGAGACGGCTCTCCCGTCTCGCATACAAGTGACCACCTGAGAGGGCTCACTCGTATGCGTGACGGCCTGTCAGTGAACCATGGATATCTGCATGTTGCACATAAATGTCTCTACAAGTGTTATTTGTGAAAATAATAAAACAAAATTACGTAGAGTCATTGATAATCATACAAGTTATCGTATGACATGAAAAAAATGTCATAAGAAAATAATAAACGGTCAAATTCGGAGAAAAATGTGAAAAAAAGGAGCAAAATGTTCTGTTTTTGACAGCGATTTTCTCCTATGTATATATTTTTCAGAAACTAAAATGTAGTATTTTCTAAAAGCTTATTCATCGTTGAGTTACAAAATATATGAATTATTTCACGCACACCAACGCACACCCATTTGCCATCGCGTTGAAACGTTTACTTCTTCGAAACTGCGCGAACCGTCTCGCGTACAAGTGACTGGTCGACAAGCAGATTAAGGGAGGTAACCGATGCCTGACTAAAATGTTCAATCGGATCATCCATCTTGTTACACTAAATGTGTCTGAATCAGAATGGTGCGTGTATAATATCCACGATATTTATTTAGCGCGTAGGTTCGTGGTTAGAACAAGGGAGAAATCTATTTTGATCACGTATAACGAAAAAAAAATTTGAAATGGGTAATATATTATATGGTGGAAGATATAAAATGTAGAAAAATCAATTAAAAGAGTCAAATTTGGAGAGAAATGTACGAAATTGGAGCCAAATTTGCCGATTTTGGACAAGATTTTCTCCTATGTGCATATTTTTCAGAAACATAATTTCAGTATTTTCTTAAAGCTTATTCGTCGTAGTGTAACAACATGTATATACTTTTTCGGGCACACGAACTCACACCTATGTGCCAGCGCGTTGAAACATGTGTACTCTCCTCAAACTGCTCGCAACTGGTAAACAAGTCGTCCCACAGCCCCGTTACGCGTACGAGAGACGGCTCTCCGAACAAGCGAGTGAAAGACGGCCTGAGAGAGAGTCACTTGCAGGGGTGACTGCCTGTCGATGGATTACAGATGTCTGCATGTGACACTAAAACAACCCATCCCTACACGCTTCCTATGTGATTAAAAAAAATATATACGTAGTTGACTGTTAGATGCTTGTTATCAAACGATATAAAATGTAGAAAAATCAATTAAAAGAGTCAAATTTGGAGAGAAATGTACGAAATTGTAGCCAAATTTGCCAATTTTGGACAGCGATTTTCTCCTATGTGCACATTTTTCAGAAACATAATTTCAGTATTTTCTTAAAGCTTATTTGTCGTAGTGTAACAACATATATCAAGCGCTTCACTGAGTACTGCTGACCGCACCCGTCTCGCGTACAAGAGACGGCAGAGCCGTCTTGCGTACACGTTACCTCTGCGACTGTTTACGAACCAGATTTCGATGCACGATTTTGATTGGACTATGCCTAGACTCGTTAGTCCGGCCAAAATGTAACTCCATAATACCAGCCTAGTTCGGCAAGGGTGGAAACTGGACCTTTTTAGTCGGTTAATGCCCTTGCCTTGGGAAGATGAGACCTATAGCACTTAATCATATTTTCAACTTGTATACTGGGATCTACCGGATGATCTGCCCCTTGCAATGACTGCACATCCACTGACACTTCCAGAGCATGGGATAACTCTGCAGCCCTGAAACAACAAATGCCATTAAAATTATAAGAAAACACATTAGGCAGCATTATTTCTACAAAAATATTTACCATGTTTACAGTCCTCTTTTCTCATTTCAAACACAAAATACCAAATGAATGCTTAACACATTTTTGTGTGCACTTATAACATAATGTCCCAATCATTCCAAACAGACAGTGCAAGCATGTCACATGCCACAATGACTTCTCAAGAATGATGAAAGCTTGTTCCTCTTTATATTGTTGCTATCTACTTTGGGACAGTTATCTTTAGGAAGCTGCAGCTATAATGTCCCCTCACCCGTTTCTTGTTTAATACAAGTTTTTCTACATGTCATAAAGACGGACTACAGACAGCTGACGGATTGTCCCATAAGAAAAATCTGCCAATGTGCACTGTAGGATTACAGCACACTTCTACATCTCCAATTAGCTATAAGTCATAAAATATTATTAAATTCTATATACCCATCTCTAACTTTATGATCACTTACATGCATGGTGACCATATTCCACTGCAAAACTCAAAACTTGTTAAACATTTACAGTTATTCAGCAATTTACATTGGATTAATTCATATAATGACATAAGTTAGCTACGCCACTCATAACTGACCCAAAGTAATTCCCAACCCAACGTCAAGGGGTGTTTGATCAGAAAGGGATACTTAACCCTGATGATGGTGTAGCAGGGCATGGAGTCATCCCACAGATGACATCCTTACCTTGTCAGCTTGCTGACAGGGTTAACCTCTTTGGTCATGTGGACAAGGCGTCCGACCTCGGATCAGAAGGTCCGTGGTTCGAATCCCATCATGGGACTCGAAAATTTTACATTGCTACATTGCACCCAACATGGGGCTTAGCACGTTCATATTAAATTTGGGCAAAATAAGCCTCAGTACCCTACTATGCGGCCTGGGATGTGCCTTCTGTTGACGGGGGAGGGCGTGGAGTCATCCCACAGATGACATCCTTACCTTGTCAGTTTGCTGACGGGGCTAACCTTTTTGGCCATGTGGACAAGGCGTTCGACCTCGGATCAGAAGGTCATCTCGGGACTCGAAAATGTTATGGCCGCAACAATGGTAAGGGGGTGATAGCACAGAAAGGGGATCCAAGTGTTAATGATAGAGTTGGGTGTAACATACAATTACCCTAACGACAGAAGAGGCAGGTGAGATCAATCAATCGAGAACAACAGTCTGCAGCCGGTGCCCATTAGCAGCTGATTAGCTCCATAAGCTGCGATCGGTTAACTGCAGTCTGACAGACAGAATTTTATAAAAAATACTTGTTTCCGATATTTGCTGATATGAGCGGTCGGTTTGAGCGTTTTCCCTTTAAACACATCCCAAGTAGGAAATGTAAAAAATACCTACCATTTAGCACCATTGAGTACACGCCGCTGAGCGCATTCCCTGTGTGCTATGATCAATTCTCTCTTTACTTTCGACAAATCACATCTTGTAATATCCGCCATTTCTAACTCGTTCCAATGACATCCGGTTGAAGGGATCAAACATTAATCTTGTTTTCCTTTTTAACATATGTTACATATTAACTGATATAAACATATGTGCATTGATAATAATATATAATTGTCAAATACCCACAAACAGTTTTAAAATGCTATAGCGAAACTAGATTTATTGAAAATACAAAATAATTCTCTGACAAAATAACTGGTCCCTTTTCTTTTGATACGCATGCGTGAAAATAGCGTACTGGGCAACAGGTTCCCGTTAGTTGTCATCAAATCTAGCCCTGAAAAATGTATCGCAAAGAAAAGCCAGTTGTAATCAAAGGTAGCACGTCTGCTTTACCAAACAATCTTAGCATTCTTGCAACCCCAGAGAAGGGTTCACTGAACTATGCTGTCGTGCACAAGTCGACTGTCAACCTGGTAACTGCTACAACCGACGGAACCACAGTCACCGGGAGACAGGTCGTTTGCAAGGAGCCCACCGCCACCCAAGGCAGTCCTTTCATTACCCAGGTGATATTGATATTTTTCAGTTATGAATCATAATATATTTTTGAACTGCATGACTATGGAAATAAATACATTGCATTGTAATCAGTAGTAATACGACTTGTAGGGGCATTGTCGTCGCTGATACGTCAATCACACTGCCGATTGACTGAACAAACAGGGGAGACTATTCAGCCAAATCGAAAATATTCGCATTGCCAGATTGTGTGAGTGCAGCTATTCAACTGATGTGACTGCAAAAAATGTGTTTCATAATGCCTCCTTGTTAAAGCAACCAGTGCAGTTAACTCATGTCAACTCAGATTGGTAGCATGCAGGTTTGAATCAGCACAAATGTACGCTCAAATTAACATATCCGGGGTTAGTTGGTTTGTTGTTAAACGCCGCACTCAGCAATATTCCAGCTATATGACGGCGTTCTGTAAATAATCAAGTCTGGACTAGACAATCCAGTGATTGATTTCATGAGCATCAATCCACGCATTTGGGATCGATGACATGCATCAACCAAGTCAGCGTTAGTCGCCTTTTACGACAAGCATAGTCACCTTTTACGGCAAGCATGGGTTGCTGAAGACCTATTCTACCCCGGAATCTTCACGGGTCAACATATCCAGGGCATATGATTCCATCACAATATATCATGTTCATGTGATTTCATCAAAGGATTCTACCCATTAAGCATGTTAAGCTCTTCTTGTTCATTGTTGTTTCTGCCATTACGATTTGAGACCTTGGACATTCTTTACTTTAAATTTAACATGTTTAAGGGCAGTTTTAAAGTTTAGGGTTACCTTTGTTTTATTTCCTAAATAAAGATTATTCATTGTTTTTGTAAACATGTCATCAAATCAGTAATATGCTTAAGATCTGAAAATCTACCTATTTTTCATCCTGATGAAGTTGCATGGTGTTTTTACCATGTTCACTACAGGCTATGATGTTTGACATATGTTTTGTCCACCATGTTTTACATCTGTAGGTGAGAAATATATAAAGACGGTTGAGCAGTGTGTGATCTAGTTGATTGTGTGTCGTGATTGTGATTATACCAGACAACATGCAATCAACCACTTGTTAGAATCTGTCTGTCTTGACTTCTGTTATCGCTTGTCTTTTGTGTTGCTTAAAACAGCAATCACTAACCTTTGTACTTGTGCTCTTGTTTGGATAGGTAAAATGGATTATCCTGCCAGTGAGGACTGTCCTGATACTGACATCACAGAGGGGTATACAGGTAATATCTGTTTATTTCATCATCAAAGATGACCACTGATCTGTATTCATATCGTGAACTTTTTCCAAGTTCTGTTTACATATATTTTCACAATAAGGTAGTTTGGACACCAAAAGTCGTGTTGTATCGAGGGGGTCACCAAATGTAGTGTTGTAGCGAGGGGGACACCAAATGTAGTGTTGTAGCGAGGGCGACACCAAAGGTCGTGTTGTAGCGAGGGTGACACCAAATGTAGTGTTGTAGCAAGGGTGACACCAAATGTAGAGTTGTAACGAGGGCGACACCAAATGTAGTGTTGTAGCAAGGGCGAAACCAGAGGTAGTGTTGTAGGGAGGGCGACACCAAATGTAGTGTTGTAGGGAGGGGGACACCAGAGGTAGTGTTGTAGGGAAGGGGACACCAAAGGTAGTGTTGTAGCGAGGGTGACACCAAATGTAGTGTTGTAGCAAGGGGGACACCAAAGGTCGTGTTGTAGCGAGGGTGACACCAAATGTAGTGTTGTAGGGAGGGGGGACACCAAAGGTAGTGTTGTAGGGAGGGCGACACCAAATGTAGTGTTGTAGCAAGGGTGACACCAAATGTAGTGTTGTAGCGAGGGCGACACCAAATGTAGTGTTGTAGCAAGGGCGAAACCAGAGGTAGTGTTGTAGGGAGGGCGACACCAAATGTAGTGTTGTAGGGAGGGGGACACCAGAGGTAGTGTTGTAGGGAAGGGGACACCAAAGGTAGTGTTGTAGCGAGGGTGACACCAAATGTAGTGTTGTAGCAAGGGGGACACCAAAGGTCGTGTTGTAGCGAGGGTGACACCAAATGTAGTGTTGTAGGGAGGGGGGACACCAAAGGTAGTGTTGTAGGGAGGGCGACACCAAATGTAGTGTTGTAGGGAGGGCGACACCAAAGGTAGTGTTGTAGGGAAGGGGACACCAAAGGTAGTGTTGTAGGGAGGGGGACACCAAAGGTAGTGTTGTAGGGAAGGGGACACCAAAGGTAGTGTTGTAGCAAGGGCGACACCAAAGGTAGTGTTGTAGGGAGGGCGACACCAAAGGTAGTGTTGTAGGGAGGGCGACACCAAAGGTAGTGTTGTAGCGAGGGCGACACCAAAGGTAGTGTTGTAGGGAGGGGGACACCAAAGGTAGTGTTGTAGGGAGGGCGACACCAAAGGTAGTGTTGTAGGGAAGGGGACACCAAAGGTCGTGTTGGACGGAGGGGGACACCAAAGGTAGTTTTGTAGGGAAGGGGACACCAAAGGTAGTGTTGTAGCGAGGGATCACTGTAGGTGTTTCCTTTCAAAACCCTTCAGCTATCTTGGAGAACTACCATTAAGTTAACAATGTTTAGTATGTATTTTCATGTGTGATCTTTTCTTCTCTCAAACAGTAAGCTCTCAGAGCAACCTTGGGGTCAGGACGTTATATTTGCACTGATAGAAACTAACAGTTTTAGTCCACTAGTCCTTGTGATGACAACAAAACCCTTACAAATGGCAGATGTCTACAAGTCCTTGATATGACTAGTGCCATTTCTTAGCTGATTTGGGTCAGTGGGTTAATGTCTTCAGAGAAGTTATCTACAATGATATGTCCAGAACAGCTCAGACTTTTCACAGGAGTTTAATGCTATATGAATGTACAGATATTGTTATCATTTATTTCTCGACTGATCATGAATGATATTTCATTTATCTGCAGATGTTTGAACCTGATGGCTCTGTGATGATATACTGGCATGCTCTCAGTGACTCTGGTGGTAAGTTGTCATGTAACATTGCACAGTGTCTTGTGATAGGTTATATCTATAGTCTGGAAGGTAATTTACATAATTTAAGGTACCAACGTTTACTACAATATCTGAAAAACTATCGGACCTACTCCAGTCATGATACTCCATGATAACTGGATATTACATTTAAAGACAATCGGTGCATGAATAAAGAATCTGTCTATTTAGCTGTCACTATATTTCATCAACAACCAGACCTGTTCGTCACGGGTGGAACGAGCATTCATTGAAACAGCCATCTGCATAATGCTACCCCTTTGTCACAGGGCCATATGACACAGTTCAACCAATCAACTCAACTCGAAAGGGTGCACGGGAATCACGCACGTTGAGACGCCCAACGCTAACACCGTATTCGTGCTTGCGTGATTCCGAGACAGATTTTTTATTCATGCACCGATTGACTTTAAATGTAATATCCAGTTATGTATGACTGTTTAATAATCTCATACCAACTTTGACTGGAGTAGGTCCGATAGTTTTTCAGATATTGTAGTAAACGTTGGTACCTTAAATTACCTTCCAGACTATATGTAACTGGCTATAAAAGTCCAGTTTCCACCCTTGTCAAACTAGGCTGGAATTGTGGAGTTATATTTTGGCTTGACTAATGAGTCTATGCATTGTCCAATCAAAATCGTGTATCGAAATCAACATCAGTTTGTAAACTGCCGTTCAGATTTCGGTCCATTTGCAGGATTTGCAAAGCATGTGTACCTTCAACTTAACGTCAACAGATATTTTCAAAATCTTTTCATGTTTGTAATGTTAGAATTGGTCTTCAGCAACCCATGCTTGTTGTATGAGGCAACTAACGGGATCGAGTGGTCAGATTCACTGACTTGATCGATGCATGTCATAGTATCACATTTGCGTAGATTGATGTTCATGATGTCAATCGCTGGATTATCTGGTCCGGACTTGATTATTTACAGCTTGCTGGAATATTGCTGAGCGCTGCATTAAACAACAATCACTCATGTTCATGTTTGTTGTAACCGCTGACCAATAATTATTGAGTGTTGACAAAGTGTGACCGGATGACATTGCTCCTACTATCAACCACTTGTTTGGCCCAGAATAAATTAGTTACACGCTGCTGTTATGAAGCTGGAATATTGCTGACTGCAGCGTAACATGCTTTAATCAGTGTTCACTCGCTCTCTCCTGTCAATGTTACAGATTCTATGTTGTTCTGTGAGCATGGTGAGGAAGATTCAGGTGTACCCATCTCAATGTTCATCACCCCGTGAAGATTCGGGTAGAGAATAGGCCTTCAGCAACCTATGCTTGTCGTAAAAGACAACTATGCTTGTCTTAAAAGGCGACTAACGGGATCGGGTGATCAGTCTTGCTGACTTGGTTGATGCATGTCATCCTGTCCCAATTGCATGGATTGATTCTCATGATGTCAATCATTGGATAGTCTGGTCCAGACTTGATTATTTACAGACTGCTGTCATATGGCTGGAATATTGCTGAATGCGGCATGAAACCAAAAACAAACAAACAAAAATTCATCAATAATTATGAAAGGTCTGATTTTGGTTTTTTTCAGACAGCAGTAATTTTGGTCGTGGCATCTCAGGAGTTGGAGATAATTTTATATGTGTCGGTAGGTGTGATATGTTGTCTTCAACAAAAGCTTATTAGTTGCATCTAATGTTGGGCTGTTACAGTACTCTTTGATGTGATACAGTGCATATACCTCAGTAATGTTTTGATGGATGTACCATACTCGACATAATAAGCGCCCAGGGTGCTCTCAAAATTAGAAATAGGGGGGGGCTCTTGTTAGAATATATTTTGGTGAAAGAGTCGAAAAATCGTAAATTTTATGGTTTCTGCTGACAGCCTGAAATGATACAAAAGAAAAGTCTGTGCATATTATACACGACAGATATATTTTTCCAGAATTTAATTGCCCGTAATTAAGGGTGCATATAACACACGAGTGCGTATTATACACGAATAAATGTATACAAATTGTGTACATTGATCAGTCGGAAGGGTGCTAATTGGGATTGTTCACTAGCCAATATATTGGAAAATATCGCCGTGGGCGCTAATTAGTACGGGGCGCTTATTTCGTCGAATACGGTAATCTACATTAGGAATGCATTACATGGAAATTCAGCACCTGCCAAAAGGACCCATACTATACCATTTCAGAGAATGACTAGAGACAATATGTAGAGGGGCTAGGACGATACACCAACTGTGAGATCCAATACGTATCACGGTACCTTACTCACGATCCAATATGTATCTCGATTCTTGCATGTAATCTTATCTGTGGTGCGTAATCTTTTTGATAGAAAAGATGGCACACTAATGATTTACAGATGGCACTGTCAAGTATGGCACAATGGATGAAAATATTTATGTTTTCACTATTAATTTGCACTACTGATTTGTGTTTAGTGGAACAGTTATTAAAGCAAACATTCAAGGTCAGAATCTTTACTTAGTGTGCGACTGTGATCGATACTTGTGTCGAGAAGTTAAAAATCGCGATCCACCGATGCATCTAGGTATCATCCCACCACTGATATTTAGTGAATTAGAGTCAATGAAACTAAGGCCTGTTGTTTTTATCCCATTTGAAAATCGGGGGATACAGCGATGAGCATGTCCGTCTGTCTGTCCTCTGTCCATTTTCCATTTCAGGAGCAGAATTCTTATTACTGCTGAAGATTTCTTGTTGAAACTTGCTATACGCACCAGACCAGTGTTTAGTGCTGAACTGGTGCTTTTTGATGATTTGGGATTTTTGTTTTTTAATGTTTTTTGTTTGCATGACGAAAAGTTGGATTTATACTGAAAATGAGGGTAGTGCTCATTTCCAGAGTAGAATTTTAAACCGTTGAATAATCTTTTATGAAGCTTGCTATACAGATCAGTCTAGTGGTACACTAGTGTCTTTTGATGATGTGAAATATTGAAAATAACTGAACAGCATTTTGTTCTTCACTCAACTGAAGGTATCCAATGGCAATGAACTAAACATGAGGTTTAACTCCATTTCCGAATTGCATGTCATCTACAGAGGACTCTTGTTTATTGTTTGCAAAATATTTGGCCTAGAGGTAAACACGTTAAACAACTTTTTCAACATCTTGTTGATAACCTTTCTACTTATGAATGATAAACAAATAAGTTAAAGCTTTTTTTGGTTTCTTTTTCTTTTACACTTTTTATTCTCATTTATGAGTACTTAGTAGTATAGGACAGTTCTTCACATTTAAATGGTAAATTTTACATAGAAATGACAGTGACTGGCAGTTTTTGGTTGCTAGTGCTGTTTTTCAATGGTTTTGAACTAGTTTGGGCCGATTTCATCATCTTATTGTGGTTGCGTACACCCACACATTACTGTTGTGGTCCGACTGATAGAGCATCTGCACAGAGAGTGAAAGGTTGGTGGTTCGATCCCCAGACGCATTAGACGAAAAGATGTTAAAAGATGGTACTTGTTGTTACCCTGCCTGACACGGCATTGAGAGGATAAGACAGGAACTTGTTGGCTCTGAGTCAGTATACTGTGTCCGAGTAGGGTATCCATGTTAAACTGCAGCATGGTTTTTCAGCGAGCTTGGTTTTGTCTGTAACATACCGTATTCGACGTAATAAGCGCCCTGCTCTAATAAGCACCCACGGCGATATTTGCTAATATATTGGCTAGTGAAAAATCCCAATCAGCACCCCTTCCGATTGATCAATGTACTCAAGACTTATTTCTTCGTGTATAATATGCACTCATGTGTCATATGCCTCCTTAATTATGGGCAATTAAATCCTGGAAAAAATATATCTGTCGTATATAAACATTTCAGGCTGTCAGCATAAACCATGAAATTTACTATCCTTCAACTTTCACCAAAATAATATTCTAATAAGAGCCCCCTATTTCAAATTCTGAGAGCGCCCTGGGCACTTATTACGTCGAATACGGTAGTTGAAATCAAACACCACCACCAACCACCACACCCATCCCATCCCATCCCATCCCAGAGCCTATGGCTGTTTGTTTTTCTGCCATGTAAATATGATACAATTCTACTTGCAGGGACTGAAAGTGGGCAGATCTTGGTGTTCAACATGCCCCCCAAAGGAACAAATATAACCTACCAGGAAGCTCTCAAAGGTTGGTACTCTAATGATCCTATCAGTAGTTTTTTTAAAAATCTGAAATATCATGTGCTTAGTTATTTTGAATCACAATGTTTGTGAGTTACAAGACAGACTTGCTACAAAAAATGTCCTGGTGTGTGAGAGGGCCAGTACAGTGGTCAACCAGTGTTCAGGGGTAACTCAATTCTTACCAGTACTTCCGGCTCTCTATTCACGGATGTTGATTGTTTTACCATGTCAGCTGGTTTGACAATCTGTATCGAGGCAAGGGTCATTTCAACTTTATTTGCAGAACCCTTATTCAAGGAAAACAGATACAAATCATGTTTATGTATGGAAATAGTTATTGGAACAGTTATTTAGGACGAAATGCGAAGTTTTATTGTCAAATGCTTGGCTGGCTATCGAACGCCGGTTGACATCGCCAAAATGCAACCTTAAATAGCTGCCTGTGAAATAAGTGAAAAGAGAGTTTTACATGCAGGGATTACCTTGTGTATTTTCTCATAAACTAAGCCGAAAACAGCAATCAGGTGTACAAATGTTTTCTTTGAATCTACCGGTGATTTGGTCAAGACACACCCAATGATATAACTTTACAGGATTTTAATGTGACAAAAGTTGCAGATTTCACTAATTTTGGTCCTCAGTCTGTCTGTCATATATACTTATTAGATTAGATAAGATTAGATTAGATTAGATTAGATTAGATTAGATTAGATTAGATTAGATTAGATTAGATTACAACATGCATCACATCACATCACATCACATCACATCACATAGGCCATATATTCTGTTCAAAGCAGCGTTCAACCTAGATCAATCCCTCACAGTGTAATGGGGAACATGTTTGGTTTCCAGCGCACACATGCGCCATCTGTGACTTGGCCTCGGAGAAGGAGATGATGGTGAGCGGGGACGAGAGGGGCAGCATCTACGTGTGGAAGGCAGCAGGGCAGCAGCTGCAACAGACTCTCAAGATCGCAGGAGGGGGGTAGGTGCCAACGTCATCTTTTGTCTTAAGACTTAAGGCAGAGCTCCAGATAAGCTTTTGGTGTTGTGGGTATTTTACCCATGCATTTCATTTTCATTGGGTATCGGTAATTCTATCTGGGTATTCAAATTTCTGTTACCCACTAGTTTTTACACGTGTGGGTATTTAAGTTAAATATTTAAAAAAAAAACTATTCATCCAGTCCCTGCAAACTGGTGTCATGTGGGTTCGAGAGCTTTATAGGACTCAAAAATACCACGATACTTCCACAAGAAAGTGTGATGGCAAATGATCATGATGTAACTGTCACTGTGGAGTTTGGCAAGGTTGACGGAATGTCTGCTTGAGGGTAAATTTATATTGCATTTTCAAAGTGAAATTGATGCTGATGTTGGAGGCTAGACTTGTGACATTTGTCCAAGCGAGGTTATTTCAACCATCACTCTCTTGTTTCCAATTTCTAAGTTTGTGTTATTTATTACCTTAATTCCACAGATAATGTGTCAGTTTCATGCATGTCTCTCTCGGACCCGTGAAGATCCAGGGTAGAATAGGTCTTCAGCAACCCATGCTTACCGTAAAAGGCGGCTTTGCTTGTCGTAAAAGGCGACAAACAGGATCGGGTGGTCAGGCTCGCTGACTTGGTTGATGCATGTCATCGATCCCAGTTGCATGGATCGATGCTTATGATAATAAGCACTGGATTGTCTGGTCCAGTTTGATTATTTACAGACTGCCTCCATAAAGCTGGAATATTGCTGAGTGCGGCACTAAACAACAAAACAACCAACCATGCTCTTATTGCAACAATCTCATCCAAATCAGATCTTTTGCCTGATAACATACCACTCCGTGTGTAGATCTGAAGACACCTCCGTGGAAGGTCACGTCAGGTGAACTTCCCAATCCGCTCTCAGTATCAGTGAACGAGGCCTTCAGAACAGCATATCTGATTCCTAAATGTCCTCCTTAGAATGTACATAAGGAAACCCACACCAATATATTTTTGTGGATGTTTAAAACCTGTCATATCTCAGCTCTGTGGCGTCCTTCATTTAGATATCTCATGGTTCACCCTGACATGCTCCTATGGAGCTGTTCTCAGATCTTCAGGCAGATAGGTATTGTATTGAAGTACAAGATCTGATTTTAATGGGATTGTTATTGCATTTTCTTAATCTAGTCTGGAAATGGGCATCAGACTTGCAGCATAATCGCTCCTTGAAGCTGAGCCTAGTTACTGGAGAAGTTCCCATTCAACTGATAACAAACATTGTGTCCCTCTCTATGATTGGTTAATCTGGCTTTTGTGGAAAGTGTTTGACAGTGTTAACATGATATGATGTGATTCAACTGTTGGGCTGTGTGTTTGATGTATTGCTTTGCAGCTGTTTGACAATGTGTGTGATATGATGCAGCTGTTTGACAATGTGTGTGATATGATGCAGCTGTTTGACAATGTGTGTGATATGATGCAGCTGTTTGACAATGTGTGTGATGTGATGCAGCTGTTTGACAATGTGTGTGATATGATGCAGCTGTTTGACAATGTGTGTGATATGATGCAGCTGTTTGACAATGTGTGTGATATGATGCAGCTGTTTGACAATGTGTGTGATATGATGCAGCTGTTTGACAATGTGTGATATATGATGCAGCTGTTTGACAATGTGTGTGATATGATGCAGCTGTTTGACAATGTGTGTGATGTGATGCAGCAGTTTGGTAGTATTAGATGTGATGTGCCGTTGTCTGACAGTGTGTTGTATCTGTTCAGGAGCCCATGCAGCAGTTTGGTAGTATTAGATGTGATGTGCCGTTGTCTGACAGTGTACTGTATCTGTTCAGGAGCCCATGCAGCAGCATAGCTCTGTGGCGGGGTATCATCGTGGGAGGATACGGTTCCGGCCACCTGCGTGTCTACAGTGCAGCAAGTGGAAAGATAGGTGCAGAGGTCACCGCACATGCTCGATGGATCAATGCCATTGACATATCTCAGGAAAATGGAATGGTGAGTTTGTTTGTATAGAGATAGTTTAGTGTGGAATTGTAGTTTCACCTCAGACTCTACATTGTGATTGATTTCTAGGGGATTTTCAGCATCAGCCGGACACACGATCAGCGCAGGATTATATTTCTGCTTCCGAATAAAACAAAGTATAACTTCTTAGTGTTCAAACATCTTAAAGATTTTGTATAATAGTACTCAGGCTGGGACGGGGAACTCGGGTACCCAGGTCCGAGGGGTACTGAGTAGAACCCGGGTACCCACAGGACTACCTGGACCCGTGGTTAGTCACGTGACATATTGTTTAACTTAACTTAATTTAACTTCAGTGTATGAATGACCAGATTGTTTAATACATGTATCTAAATACATTTTGCCAGGGCTATGCTAAAAATGTTCCCTATCGGACATTTAGAGCCACTTGAGACCCTAAAGTGGGTATCCGGTTAGGGTCGGGTAATAGGGGTAATAGGGGGGTGGGTACCCGGGTAGTTACTTTTGGACTCGTCCCAGCCCTAGATAATACTAATAACTCTCCAATAATTGCACACATATACATAACTTGTTTTAACAATTCTCTAAGCTGATCAGTGATGAAGCAAGATAATGCCATGGTTGAAAGCAAACAAAATCATGTCAACAATTGTTCATGCCACAAATAATTAATGTTGCATCTCTAAAACAATAGAATAGTGATGTTTCTTTAAAGGTTTGACCTTACATATGTTTCACTTCATTCAGTGTCTTGAAATGATAAGGGTTAAATACAGAATAACTTACTCCAATCTAGGAATTACGGAATATTTGTCCATGGTAAATAAACCTTGCCACAGGTACAGCACAGGGAATCCATAATGCAACAGATTTCACAGCTGAATAGCTGGTATTTTTACACCAGTTTATCAGTTGTCTCAGATAGAAAGTAATTACAATCAGAATAACTCCCTCCATGGTCTAGTGGATACAGCGGTTCTGTCCGGACGGTTGAAGTCAGTTGTTCGATTCCCAGCTACTTCATACCAAACAATGTTAGAAGATGTTACTTGTTGTTTCCCTGCCTTGCACCTCAGCATTCAGGGGCTAAAATAAGGACTGGTAGGCTTGGAGTCGGTTTACTGTGTCTGAATCAGGTATTCATGTTAAACTGCCACATAGTATCTCTGTGGACTAGAACTCTAACAGCAAATTGTCCGGATTAGCAAAAGCAGCTGTACATACATCCATATCTCTATATATAAGCTCTATGTAATCCTGAACATGACGTTTAACCCAGTTTCACCTAACCTCACAATCAGAAGCAAGGTTTTTCATCAGGATGTGTAAGTTAACTTGATAAGGGTAGAATATTTTGCTTGTGTTTTTCCTGTGATCTCCAAGTTTAAGATTGTTGATCTAATATTTCAGGTGTTGTCCGTGAGTGACGATGCATCTTTCCGAGTATGGAAGCTAAAGGAGGGAACTGTGCCACAGGTAGGATTATGATGTCTTTTTTCATTTGATTAGGCCTGTAATGATACACTTCTTCCCGATACAATACGTTTGTAGATAGCTTGACTCCGCTCCAGTACATAATTGGGGCTTTTTTTTGTTTAAAGATGTACTCACCAATATTTCAGTGGTATGATTGAACCCTGTAAATTATTGTGCCTAGACCAGACAAACCAGTGGTTGATATCAAGAGCATTGCCCTACATACACAGGGTATGATGTATGATGGCACAAAATCAAGTCATCAAGTCTGACCACACAATCCATTTACCGCAGTAGTTGCCTCTTGTGACAATCATAGATTGCTCTGACCAATTCTAATTAAGATGAGTGAGTGAGTGAATATGGTTTTACGCTGCTTTTAGCAATATTCCAGCAATATCACGGCTTCACACATTGTACCCATGTCGGGAATCGAACCCGGGTCTTCGGCGTGACGAGCAAACGCTTTATCCGACTGCCCCCTAAGTAAGATGATGTGAGGCAGGGTGCTTGGTAGTGAGGTGGGCTTGGATTAAATTATTATAAATATATTTTGTCCTCAAGTTATCATTATTATATTTTCACAATTTTTTTACATGTCTGTTTATGAATCTCTAATCTAATTTCAGATACAGTACAAACACACAGACAGTGTGACTGATGTACAGCTTGTCGGGGGTCAGTTTGTTGACGGTCAAGGGAGAGCACTGTGTCTCACTGGCTATGACTGCAGCGAGATAGTGTTCTTTGTCCAGTGCTAAGTTCATCACTCTCCGTCCAGTATCATTATTTAGCTTTAGTCCGGTGTGCAATTAGATGTCGATTATCTCTGAAGTCCCAACTGTGCAATTCCAATTGAGAAGGAGAATATCTAGGTATATCTAGGTGTGAATGAGTACCTACCATTTCTTTGGTTATCTGTTGCTTCATTGTTCGTTGTATACCTGAGTCATTAATTTGCTTTACTTAAACTAGCGGAAAATACTGTAAGAAATGAGCACAAAGCTTTAGGCAGCCATGCAGGGTAGTTGTTTGATACAAAGCAAGAATAATAGTCTTAAGGGTTCCACTAGCCCTTTGAAAATTCACAACTAGCCGTGGGCCAACGTCATTACCTAATGAGTTTGTATACACTGCATTTCTCCACGGATACATACAGCCGATGTATGGTGTCGTAGAGGCATTTGTCTTTTTTAGACATCAATATGATTGATATGAGGTCACATGAACCCTACTCTGGGCATGAACTTTGTGAACCCGGCTGGGGCGGGTCCAAATGTACTACCCAGTTACCCGACCCCCTATTACCTGACCCTACCCGGGTACCAGCTGTAGGTCTCAAGAGTTGCGTATAAAATGTCTAATTGGGAATACTTTTTGGCAAAAGGTATTTAAATATTAAACAATCTTGTCATGCGTTCACTGTAGTTGACTGAAGTCTTATCTTTATTCAAAAATATAAAAGTCAGAAGTATTGTGTGCATAGTCAGAAAGAAATGCAGACATTTGTGAACTTTTGTCTTTATGAATATATCATGTTGACTAGACACGGGTCAGGGTAGTCCTGTGGGTACCTGGGTCCTACTCAGTACCCCCCCCCCCCCCCCCCAACCGGAGAACCAGAGTTACCCGTCCCAGCCTTAAACCCTACTAGCAATGTGGAGAGTATATGGGCACATGGCTTATAGGGCTTGGACGAGTTCAGATTTACTACTACCCGGGTACCCGATCCCCTTTTACCCGGCCCTACTCGGGTACCCACTGCAGGTCTGAATAGTTGGGGACAAAATGTCTGATTGGGAATCAGACCAGATCGCAGCCCTGGCAAAATCTATTTTAGATACATGTATCAAATACTGAAGTTGGCTGAAGCTTTATCTTTACTCAGACATATACAAGTCAGAAAGAAATATAAACATTAGCGACTTGTGGTGTAACCACTGGGCTGTAGTGAGTTTTTGTGATCAAACAATATATCATGTGATTAACCGTGGGTCCGGGTAGTCCTGTGGGAACCACCCGACCCGAGTACCCGAGTTACCCGTCCCAGCCCTTACATGTCACATGTCACATGAAATATTGACGTTTGTACAATGTAGTTTTAGTGCTCATTGGTTTCAACACTTATAGGGTTTGTATGGTAAACATGGTTACTACAAAGTGGCCTTACAAGTACCTGAGTAATAGAGTCTTCAAAACCTGTGAAGTATTGATGAAGGCCGTCCGAGATCTTGTCACTGTATCAGCTTCAAGTAAACTACTGTTTCATGGCTGTTGCAGCATCTTAATGCTTTTTCACTGCAAGTTTTTTATTGGAAAGACTGGAATAATTTCCAAAATCTTTCCAAAATCTTTCCAAAATCCTTTTCATATTGTCCTCCCCACAGGATGTCTTTCACATGGGGACAGTTGCTTCAGCTGAATGGCAAGTGCTAGTGTACACCAGAGACACATAGCTTGAAGTAGTAATGTTATAACCTTCCTGTTTCTGTATCAATGTTATTCTATGATAATGCTCTTTATGTATATTGTCATGGTTCAAACTAAATATTCTTATCAAATGTTGAGCAGTAAAACTAGAATTGATCTCTCGGGTGTAAAAACAGGAACAAACTGGATGTTTGAGGGTCAGTCATTTGTTGTCATGTTCTGGGCAAAATACAAGGGTCACAAATCAGGTGGGATATTTTTCAACATTCCTGAAGGAGCGTACACAGATGGGGGACACCTAAAAACTCCTTAGTGTTAGCCCTGCTACACTCTAAATTACAAGTTGTATGTCCTTAGTGACTGAGGGGACACGGGTAGCCCAGTCGTCTAAGGCGCCAAATTCGTTGTGCAGAGTTGAGTCCCTTGGACACACCAGAAACCAATGATTGTGGGTTCAAATCCTGGTTTGCTCCGATTATGTTTCTAGGTTTGTCAGCACCATACCCATGCTTGTGGGTTTTACCGAAATGGTAAACGTCTAATATGTCACTTTGTCAAAAGCGGCGTAAAACCATACTCACTCACTGACTGTAAGCTTTGAACATGCTTCAATGTGGAGTCTAAGGCTATATTAATGGACATTTATTGTTATTAATGTATTGTTTTGAGTAGCAGCATTTGAATCAATGTTTTGTCAACTGGAATATAAAAGAGTTATGTAATGTTGAATATTGTTTACAAAAACTGTGATATTGAACTATTTTATTACAGCAAGGGTTGTTAGTATTGTGACTGTTGTGTGTGAATCTCTGTAGATTGAGGGATAACATTGTTTTCTATTCTCAGTTTTGTACTAATCTTCATTTTGCACTTTGTCACAGGACATATTTTGTTCAGTTTACAAGAAGCACCCATCATATTCTTTATGGAGGTAAAGTGATTGTGATTCACCCACCAATTGACCTATTCCCGCCTTACTATTATCCTACCTTACAGCTCTGCCCTTGAACAGTATACCCTCATATGTGAGGCTTTACTGAAATTGTATGCATTGCAGCATTATATCAAAACCATAAATGCAACAGATTTGTGTCACTCTATCTCTGTGTTAAGCACTGACAATATTTGAGAGGAAATCAATCTGGAAAAGATGAGCTGTATTTCTATGAATTTATCAAAATGTTGATGTTAATATCATTTATTATGATTTATTACTTTGTTAATATCAAACATGGGTGTGGGGCATTTAAAAGCCTTGTCATCTGAGGCACAGCAGGTTGCTGTGCAGAGTGGCTTCCCTTAGGCACAACAGAATCCTATGATTGGGGTTCAAATCTCAGATTTACTTTGATAATGATCATTGGTTTGTCAGCACCATACCAGAGCTCCTCGGTTTCACCGAAGTGGTAAATGTCTGAGACCTGCATCACTTTAGGTTTCCTCCCACATTAAAGTTACACACTGTGATATCACTGGAATATTGTTCAAAGCAGAGTTTAAAGTACTTAACCCTAACTCATCACTCACTCACTCACTCAATCAATCACTCACTCAAACATGGAATATTTTGGTAAATCCCTGATATTAAGTGCCAATATTACCACACACCGATGTGAAAATCTACCTCACATATAAGCAAAAGATGGCCCAAAATGTTAGTCTAAGTGCAAGTTTCACAACCATTTTTGTCATTGTCTGGAATGTGGTGAATCGTCTTACTAATATAAGTAATGCTGTTCAAGTAGTCCGATTTCAAACATCAAGCAAACCATTCTGATTTATGATAGGGCGTAAAACCATACTCGCTCATTTAAGATAGTTTACAAATGTAGATATTGCAATATGTAATAATATATCCAGTTTATTAGCTGTTTCTTATTGATGCATAATAATCATAAAGATTTGTCCCACCAACATGGATACCAGTGTTGTATTCTTGTATTCCTCATGTTACATCCTGCTATCATATTAACAACCCGTGAAGATCCGGGGTAGAATAGGTCTTCAGCAACCCATGCTTGTCGTAACAGGCAACTATGCTTGCAGTAAGAGGCGATTAAGGGGATCGGAAGGTCAGACTTGCTGACTTGAGTCAAGCATAGTCACCTTTTACGGCAAGCATGGGTTGCTGAAGACCCTTTGCCCCGGATATTCACAGGTCAGCATGTAAATCAGTATTTTTCCATTTTGTCACGTTTTTGGCCTTGTTTGAAAGACAGGTACTGGGATAATGACTATAGCAATTGTTAAGTTCATTTTCTCTCATTTAGCTTTGTAGTTGGTAGTGGGAATTAGGATTTATTTTGATATTCATGACTGTTTCATGTATCGTACTGCCTGATGGCCATGAGTCGTTAGGACCTCTTTCTGGAGTTGTCAATACCATCATGTGGATATGTATTACCCAGTTGCAATCGGGGGGGAATGGGTGGCCCAGTTGTCTTAGGTGCCGCAATTTGCTGTGCAGAGTTGCGTCCCTTGGGCATGCCAGAAACCTATGGTTGTGGGTTTGAATCCCGGTTCACCCCATTTATGTTTCTAGGTTTGTCAGCACCATACCCGTGCTCATGGGTTTCACCTAAATGGTAAACGTCTGAGACCTGCATCACTTCGGGCTTTCCTCCCACATTAAGCTGACAGACCGTGATATAACTGGAATACTGTTAAAAGTGGCATTAAACCCAACTCACTCACTATTGCAATCCAATAAGATCGTGTATACTTACCATATACTTGAAATGAGTATGAAATGTTTTGTGACAAAACACAGGGGACCAAACACACTTTTTTATTGCACATTCACTTTTTTCTGACTGTTGTTTGCACTAATGTCGGCAGCTGCACTTGGTATAGGGAGATGCACGACATCAGATCAAGGTGATGGCCAGACCCTCCTTTTTAGGGGATGTCTTTTTCATGTGATACCATCCCTCAGTATACAAGATTTGTAAGTGGATTCATGTGTGTGAGTTGTGATTGTTCTTGAGTAAATCTTTTCAAAATATCACCAAACGGTACCCACCAAATTGGATCTGACATAATTATCAAGGTACAAAGGGACAATTGTCTCTCTTCATGGTCCTTGGGTTTTGGAATGTATCCAAATGACCTGGCAAAGTAGATACCGTATTCGACGTAATTAAGCGCCCCGCTCTAATAAGCGCCCACGGCGATATTTGCTAATATATTAGCTAGTGAACAATCCCAATTAGCACAACTTCAAATTGATCAATGTACAATAATCTTATTTATTCGCGTATAATATGTGTGTTATATGCATCCTTAATCATGGGAAATTAAATTCTGGAAAAATATATCTGTCGTATATAAACATTTCAGGCTGTCAGCAAAAACCACATTTACGATCTTTCAACTCTGTTGTTTTTCACCAAAATAATATTCAAATACGAGCGTCCTAGGCGCTTATTATGTCGAATACGGTACCTTTTATTGTTTATATGAGAAGATTAAATTAGCGGTTATGGTGGTTTGTACTAAAGAATGACCAGTAGATCATTTGTTTACTATAATCAAATATGGACCATATCTCAAAGCAAGGGATGAAATAGTTCTTGTGTAATGTGACCTGTTAACACTACATGGGCCAGACCAATTATTTCTTGATGTTATGGATATTAACTCCCCACGAGGTCTTGACGGAGGTGTAAGCTCAAGCAGGGAAAAGGGGAGGGCCAAAGGCCCGACCAAATTTCCCGACTCCCCAGGCTTACATTCTCCATCATGACAGAAGGGGGAGTTTATATCCTACTTATGAACCATCTTAATGCAAGAAATACCAGGAAAAATAAGAAAACATCGCGGTATAAAAGGAATTCGCTCAAAGCGTGCAAGAAAAAACACATGCAGCCTGGACTAGATGGAGTCATGACAGGATAATCTGAACAAATTCACATCACCTGCCCCAGCATCTGAGTGGGAAAACAGTGGGTTACAAAACTTAACACGATATGTGAGGTTGCAGGTTCAATTCACGTCATGGAATTTTCATGTTTAAAACAAATTTTTGACTTTTAACAAATCATCAAACACAATTGTGTTCACATCAAGAGGCAAGTTTATAAAACATTAAATTTCACAGAATGCCTGCTTACCCGGGCATACTTAAGCTGGAACGCCCCCTTACCCGGGCATTCTGAGGGAATAACTCCTTTAAGGGTTTACCCAGAAAAAGTCTAACCTATATTTATAACAGAGTGACATCATTAGAGGTTTAAATTACAGATTGTCCAGGGCAAGATGCAGGGGGAAACTATTGTGGTTTCAATGTCCATCACACACACAGAGTTAATGAAAATATTTGGGAAATGTTTTTGGTCTGATTCAGGTTATTGGTTATTGATAAGAAGCATAGTTTTTCACCTGATTATGTGTGGAAATGAAAGTTTAAAACAAATTTATTTAAAGTAATGCATAGAACTATATCTTTTTACAATAATGTACTTTTAATTAAGATGTCAGATTATGTGGCGAGCTCACCTGTAAGCCAAGGGTTGATGTTTCAGACCTTGTTATCCATAATATTTACAATGCGTTTGTAAGCTCCTGTTTTTTTATGATTATGATATACATTGTTGAGTTGAGATGCTCATAAGATCCTATGTGACAACTTCATGTATTTCAGTGAAGGATTCTATAAAACCGTCCACACTATGATGTCAAAATAAAGTAGCAATTGCAACGTTTCTTGTGTTCTTCCATTCTTTCTTGCAATTTTTACCAAGGGTTCACCTGACTACCCAATGGGTACACCCGACTATCCCAGGGTACACCCGACTATGACAAGAATAGAGTGAGTGAGTGAGTATGGTTTTACGCAGCAATATCACCGCGGAGGATTCAAGAAATGGGCTTCACACATTGTGCCCATGTGGGGAATCGAATCGGCGGGACGAGCAAACGCTTTAACCACAAGGCTAACCCACCGCCCCAACAGGAATAGAGGCTCTGTGTGGTCTTAAAGAGCAGCAACATATTATATGAAATGTTCTTTTATTAGGACTACCAACAGAAACAGAAGAGAGTGATAGAGAGAAGAGAGAGTGATAGAGAGAGGAGTGTGATGGAAATGAGAGTAAGTGAGTATGGTTTTATGCCGCTTTTTGCAATATTCCAGCATTATCACAGCGGGGGACACTAGAAATGGGCTTCACACATTGTACCCATGTCGGGAATCGAACCCAGGTCTTCGGCGGGACGGGCAAACACTTTAATCACTAGGCAACCTGAACACATTGGAAATTTTGACACGTGACATACATGGGCAGATGGATTCTAATACCAGCATACTAATTCATAATTTTTACGAAATTGTCAATTTGTACTGAATAATTGTCATACAATGAAGTTTTCTGCATGTTTAAAACAGTTTTAAGGAAGGTGAGAAGAACAGCTATAGTTTTCTCAGTTTCATATGTTGTTTAACACCTCGCTCAGCAATAATAGCTTGTTAATCTATCAGACAATCCAGTGATCAATATTGTGAGGAAATGTTGACACCAATCAACCAAGTCACCAAGCATGACCACCCAATCCATTTGGTTGCCTTTTCAGAAAAGCATGGTTTGGTGGGAATCTATTCTAACAGAACCCCACAGGGTTGAGTGAGTGAGTGGGTTGGATTTTACTCCACTTTAAGCAATATTCCAGCAATATCAGGGGGGACACCAGAAATGGGCTTCACACATTGTACCCATGTGGGCAATCAGAAACAGGCCTTCAAGGTGATGAGCGAAGGTTTTACCACTAGAGTACCCCCACCTCCCCCCTCCCCCCTCCCCCCATGGGATTGAAGAGAGTGGACAAGAAAAAGTCGAAGAGATGTCCCGTTGTTGCTTCTAATAAACCAACAAATATAAATTAATCATGTGGATGTACTTTGACACTTCACATGGGTGCACAGTTCGGTCAGCATGGGGAACTGATAGGTTTGTTCGATTTAGAAGGTGAGGCCACTGGTTGATATCTGCAA